TGTTCTGTCCTGCTCTAATCTGACCTTGCAATCCAAAAAGGCCAGTGCATTGTCTTTTGCGTCTTCTCTGGTGAATTTGATGCTGTCGTCTAGATTATTTATGTGTTCGGTGAATCCCTCAACTTCCGTTGTTTTGATTTTGACAAAGGTGTCATCCACATATCTAAACCAATGGCTTGGTGGGGAACCTTTGTATAAAGACAATGCCAAATTTTCAAATTCTTCCATGTACAAGTTGGCCACAATGGGAGACACAGGGGATCCCATGGCACATCCAAAGACCTGGTGGTAAAACGTGTCCCTGAATTTGAAGTAAGTTGTGTTGAGGCATATTTCTAACAGTTCACAAATGTGTTCCGGCAAAAGTTTAGTTCTTTCAGCTAGCGTTTTGTCATCTAAAAGTTTTCTTCTAACAGCCTCTATAGCCCTGGCCGTGGGCACCGAGGTGAACAGGGCTGTGACGTCTACGATGGAACTTTCCTGTACGACTGAGAGCCTCCACAAGCATCTTTTTATTTTTTCTAACCCACTTTATAACTGAACTCTTCTCACCTTCACCTCAAGTTGAGGGTTTTTGACCTTCCATTGCCCAAAACTTTCTGTCAACACAAGCACGTCAATTTCTGAATGTGTCGCTCACAAAATAATTACCATGTGAACTGTTTGTGTACACTAGCATGCTTTCAAACAAACAAATGAAAGGCCACACAACTCTTACAGCAGGCACGGCACTACACCAGAGCTAGGTGTGCTATAGCCGTGTCAGAAATCTGTGCAGCCTCAACACAAACCCTCCTTACAATATTACATTTTACATGTTAAAATGTTTTTTTTTTAATTTATATAAAGTGTAAAAACATGTTCACAGGTAGTCAGTCTGATTCTTTTTTGTTGAAGTTCTTTGGCCAAATTCAGTAAAAAGTTCGATACATTCAAAGTACGATAAACTGATATTCTTGTGCTGTTTATCATCCTTTCATTAAAAAAAAAAACTGAATAAAGAAAATGGTGTGATGAAAATTATTATTTTATGAATATCGGCCCACCCATGTATACGTACTGTAGCGATATGGTTGGTTATATATTTTTGTATGGCTGAGAGTTTTGGAATGGGTTGTATTTTTTATAATTATTGTTCGTTTTAATTTTGGAAAAACTAAAAATAAGAAAAACAAATTCTCGGATGGTCCCCGGAAGATTTACTTCCAAGTCTTCAGACCGACCTGCTCACTGCAGCACCTCCTGCAGGCGACACTGTGTTTCTTGGAGCTGCTGCAAGACCAGAAGACTCTGCTGGGTGGGGTCTTTGTGGCTTGCACACACCCAGAGCAAAAGACACACTGCGACCACCATCATGCACCTCCTCAACATCACGACATAAACATCGACCACCTCCTGGACACGCAAATTGCTTGTTATACTCACACGCTGGTATGCCCGCACATCAGGAGTCACACTCACCATGTGTTTGTGTTCAGGATAAGGTGACGTGCTGGTAGAGCTTCCTCTCAAAGTAGAAATTCATACACACCAGACCCATCAATGGCAACCTGCAACCATTAAAACGGCATATGCACGCAAGCCAGTGGTGATATGGCTGGACAGAAATTCTCTTGCTACTGAAGGGGGAGCAGCTACCTGGCTCTGGAGGAGCGCTGGGTGGAGGCGAGAAGGAAAGAGGCACAGAGGGCGGCGGCACTGTACAGACAAGAAGTGATACTGTGCGCCTCCATGATCAGGAAATTCTGCATGAAGGAAACTGTTGAAGAGTTCTGAGAGTGCCACCTGCTGCTCCTTGGAAACGCTGCTCAGCTCCGAGAACATTGAACGAAGACCTGCAGGTGTTGTGACAATGAGCGGTGATAGCATACTTGAAAGTAGCCTCCAGAAGTCAGAAGATTGAGTACAAAGGGGTACCTTGAAATTTCCCATTGTCAACAATTCGATTTATAATTCATTCCAGAGTTGGAAATGATGACGAAACCTGCAATTGTGCCTTTTGTTATTTTTTTTAAATTTTCTAATTGTCAAATATTTTTTAAAAAAAAGAGGCTAACCGTTCTATTGATCTGTATCTCACCCCAACAATCGTTAAAAACAATGACACATAACTTCACTGACAAATGAAGAGGGCTAATTCAACAAACACTTTTTACAGTCACATCAGTATGAAATGCACTCAGCCACTCATGTGATGCAAAACGTGGCAAGCTGCCCCAGCGATCTGCCATCAAAATGTGACAACAGTCACACAAAACCCAAAGTTCTTTGTTCGCAAACAAGATGCTTGAGAGTCCAATTAAGACAAAACCAATAAAAAAAGTAACTGTGGCAGACATGTAGCGCAGCCCTACGAAGCCCAAGTCAGCGCAAACTGTAGGCCAGTCTCAGCGTCGGATACATATGGTAGGTTTGGCATAACCACAAAGGATATCCAGCATAAAACAGTCATGAGCGCTCATTCTAAGAATTTCATATCGCATTAGTCAAGGCCCAGGTTAATAATGACCACAAGCTAATGTTGAAATGTGAAAAGTAGGAATGTCCTGGAGGTGAAAAGAGTCTCAGATTCAGCGATGAGCAGATGTGAATGTACATGATGATGATGATGAAGAGACTAGAGCACGGGTGTCAAACTCAAGGCCAGATCTGGCCCGCTACATCATTTTATGTGGCCCGCAAAAGTAAATCAAACATGTCAACTTCTACCATGATTGCTAAAATCTGGACCAAAATTTCAACTCCTCATATGTAATAAGTCAGAGGGATATCGTTATTCTCGATGTATTTAATTCACAGTCATAGCGGCCATCCAAGGAAAACTGTCACTTCAATGTGGCCCGTGACAAAAAAAGAGTTTGACACCCCTGGTCTAGAGAAACTGAGAGTGGTACACTTTGTCACTGGATGGAGATGGCTGTGGGGATGACTTTCTTCCAGAAGACGCACAAACGTACGGTGTGACCTTCAAGAGCGGCCTCGAAGCACGAGTGTCGCTAGATGGCACAGAATGTCGATTTGTAAGATGAGTCCGGTGGTGGTGAGATGACGAAGACACAGGCAGTGCAGAGAACCATGTTGTGGAATGTTAGACAGGAAGAGTGTTATGTGGCTGTCAGAGAAGAGCTGAGAAAGACTCATGGATGGTAAGAGGATCTCCCAGAAGACTGGACCACGACAAGTGATCAGAACACAGGAAGGGAGTCCTGTACTGGTAGAAAAACGGGGATGGAGACTTTGTGTGGGACCAGGACGTGCAGAAGAGCAGAGTCTTTTTGATGTTGACCTCACGCATTCCACATTGCACTGCGCCAAATATAAATTTTGGCAGTATAGAAGATGTTCATTCGCCCATTCCAGTCAGAATGGTCATTGCCCTCAGAGTTTCGATGGTACAGTATGTCTCCCTACATTTGACGTATCTACGTGGGGAATGTACACGTTTAAAAGCCATCATGCATTACATTCGAGCAGACACTCGGAAATAGTTACAAAGCTGTTGGTCGCGAGCTGCATGCTAGCAACAAAATAAAGCGAGAGACAAATTAGCTTCGTGCAAAGCTCGAATGAGGCTAGTACAACACAATGCAGATGGATTTAAAATGGGCCCTAAGAGAAAAAACATCCACTCTGCCGTTGGCCAGGGTGCGGCGCAGGATCTTGGAGGTTAAACTAAGTCATTTTAAACAAAAACGGAAAAACTGGGTTGATGCGCTGCGTCAACACGGCTTGGTATGGCTGCACTCCGGTACGTTTGAATGAGTGAATGTCGTTGTGAACGTGTGATGGAGATAAAGTACTACGTACTGTAAGCATTAACAGTGACCATTTTGATCAAATTTGATTTTTAATTTTTTGGATTAGAAAGCTTGAAATAATTAGTTTCACATTGCAGTTAGCGAGAAAAAATTCGCATTTTGGACCTCATCTAAACACACAGAACAGCAGAAGTGACCACTGAGACAATCCCAAAAAGCTTCACTGTGATAGGGGAGCGCACATTGTAGTCGGAGATCCAGTTCTGTGCTACTTACTCACAAGCAAGCTAGCAATGAGTTTCAGCTAGCTACTAGTATGGCTAAGCACATCGGGGAATGGTACGGCTGACCATGAATCTCAGGACCGGCCTGGATATACCGGGCATTCTGGGAAATTAACATATTTTCCCAAAAGTCCCATTAGCCAGCCTGCTCCTGTCTTCAGGAACAATTTGAAAACAGGTTCCCTTATGCAACTCAGCAATTGTTCAAATGGAATCTATCTATGATGCTCTGTCAGTACCCGCAACAGGACAAGCCAAAAGAAAAACAAGACTGGTGGACATGTCTTCATAGAGGCAGTACATGACTACACTCAAATCCTGAAAAAAATACTGAGACAGTGCTGGAGTCTTTTCTGCTTTAAACGGGAGGATCCTTACTTCACGGTAACGTCCTGTGGACCTTTGTCTCTTACCACCAATGATCCTTTAAGAAAAAGCAAAACACCCACCAAGTTGATCCTTCTATTCTGTCTGAAAACAGCTCTACTGTGACGTGCTGACGACTTGCTTGATTTGATCATTGATGATGGCACATCAGACTCCAAATAGGATTTGAACTTGAGGGTGTTTTTTTTTTTTTTGTCTGGGAAATTCTAATTCAATCCTCAAATTGCCAGAGTTTTGTCACGGTTCGGTTTCTGGTCTGACCAGCAGGTGGCATGTGCGGTCTTCTGTGCACACCTGCTGCCAATCCAGTCATTAGGGGACTCTGTATTTAAGGACTCTGCTTCAGTTCACCTGTGTCGGAGTATTGTTTATTGCCTTGCTGTTTCCATGCTCTCAGACCGCTTTTGCTATAGACATCGTCGTGTTCACGCTTTTGATACCCTCGGTAACATTGTTCTTGTATGTATGGCTTTGTTTTGTGAATTGGCTTTTTCTTGCGTGTAGTTGATACATAGTTTTTCGTTTGTATTCTCGGGACTAGTTTTCCTCTCTTGCCTTTTTGTGCAAGCGCTTTTTGTTATTTGTTTTTGTTTTGTTCCTCCTGGTCCTTGTTTGGACCAGCGCTTTATGTTCTACTTTGTCGGTGCGAATTTTTGTATTAAACATTTTTGTAACGGAGACCTTGTTGGAGTCTACACTTTTGGGATCCAAACTTATTTCGGCTTGTCCGAAACCTGACAAGTTTGGAGCATTCCAATTTCAAGGTACCGCTCAATGATGTTGATGTATGATGTTCTATCCTCAACAACATCCTGGAAATGGCAGCAGGACAGAACAGTGTTCAAACTGGTGTCTGTGTTTTCTCTTGCCCTGGGTAGCGTCTCTCAGGGTGACTCTAAGCTCCTCCCCACTTTCCAGGATCTCCTGCTGTGCCTGTAAAGCAACGCTCTGGGCCTCATCAGCTCCTCAGCTATTTGCTGTAGTGATGGGAATTCCGGCTCTTTTTAGAGAGCCGGTTCTTTTGGCTCGGCTCACTAAAAAGAGCCGGCTCTTTCGGCTCCCAAATGGCTCCTCAGTTTTTTTGTTGCTTAAATTAGTTTAATACCAAAAATCATGTAAAATTATGTGTAAAATGAATTACGAATGTAAAAAATATACAGTATATCAAATATTTATTATTTATATGGCTTTATTTATATTCTTCTGAACATACTCAACATGGCGTACAACATGGAGTGCTACAAAAAAATAAATTATAAAGTACATAAACAAAGACCCATCTCAAAACAAGGTCAACAAAAAGTTCCAATCTCTGATTGTGCATATTTATAAGTGTTTAAATATTTACAGTAAAACAACATAAGTAAGCTTTGATTACCA